TTGATGCCCCCCCTCAAGCTGCAACCTTTGACCTGTGCACCCGCTGGAGTGACCTCTGACCCCGCCTTCACCCAAAACGAGAATCCTCTGAATCCCAAAACCAGACCTCTCCCAGCGCCAGAAGTGATTTTAATCGCCCCCCCTCACCGGGGGCCATTACCAGGAGCTGGGGTGGGCCCGGCCCGCCCCCAAGTGGTATAAAGTGGTGCTGCAGTCAGTGTCCGCTAATGGCGGCGTCCCCTTTTGCACTGCGCATGCGCAGACCCCACTACTCCTCCCCCCGCCCCTCGGTGCACAGCACTGCCCACACACAAGCGCCCCGCCTTTCCGGGGGGCCGGCCTGCGCATGCGCATACCCCTTCCAGCCCGTGACGGGGACAGAGCTGGGTCGCCCCAGTGGGGTGGCCCCTCAAGGCGGGGAATGATCACCATCAATGCCTTTCCACCCTCTGTGGCCATTTCACCCCCTTGAACTTCGCCAATTTGGGTTCCCTTCCCTGTAAGAGGTCTCCACACACACACACACACACACACACCCCTTGGGCCACCTGGGCTACCAATTCTGGGTGCTGGGCAAGAAGAAGAGGCGGGAAGAGGGTTTGAGATGTTTATTGAGCAGGGTGAGAAACTGGACATGAGAACTGGGACCTTACATGGGGGTGCACTGAGGGGGGGAGCTACGAAGCCGAGGGGACAGCGTGTTCTCTGCCCCCAACTGTCATGGCAGAGGTTGGGGGTCACCTTCACGGGGATCAACAGGGGCCGACGTTGGCCATGGGAATGGTGCTGGGGTCATCCCGGTTGCGGAGGCCGCTCCAGTGGACACGGCCTGGCCAAAGGAGGATGAAAAACATCAGGGGAAGTGTTCCTTGTCCGCCCCACCCCCTTCCCAGGGCCCCCCTGGAATCCCCACAACCTTGAGTGGACCCTTTGGTGGAGGGGAGGGTTGGTCCAGGTTGGGCCACCACCACCATCCAAGGAGGTGAATGGGGGCTTGGGAGACAACACTTGGGGATTTGTTAAAATATGGGGCAATTTGGGTGAGGGGCGGCCAATTCGAGGGCAAGAAGGAGGAGTATGCTCAAGACGTCAACCTGATGTCACCCTCTCCTTGGTGTCACCACGTCCCTTCCCCTCCCTCTTTTCTATTGTTTTCTATGTTTTTATATAGTTTTGTATGGTTTTATCTGACCCTGTTGCCCACCCTCAGCCCCTCCCCTGCTCACCTCTCCGCCTCCGGCAAAGCCAAATGGCCAATAGAAGCCCCACGACGAATAGGGTGGCACCACCAGCGACACAACTGACCACCAATGGGATGAACTGGGAGGGAACTGGTGGGGGGAGATAGAGAGACCACTAAAGGTGAGCACCCATTGCCTCTACCCCACTAAGATCTCCCTCTCTCCCTCCCATTTCCCCCCAGTTTGGGCCACCAGAAGGTTCCTTGGGCCAATGATGTCCCTCCCACCCCACCCCAAGAGCAATGGGAAGGTCCCCAAGGTCTTGAAGATCTCAATGGGGTGGGTGGTAGGACCTCACCTTGGGTGGTGATCACCATGGCCTGGGTGAAGGGGGTGAGATCCCCCCACCCACCTCCAAAAGAGCCCATTTCCCCCCAATTTGGGCCTCCAGAAGGTCCCCAAGGGCTTGAGGACCCCAGCTGGGTGGTAGGACCTCACCTCGGGTGGTGACCGTCACGGGTTGGCTGAAGGGAGAGGAGATCCACCAATCATTGATCTTCTCATGGTAGCGGCAGGAGAAGATGAAGCCAGTGGCTGGGGTAGCATTGGCTACCACGGGGAGGGTGAAGGTGGCCCGGTCCCTGCTGGTGGTCACCGAGAAGAGCTGGGCGCCATCTTGGTAGAAGGAAAAGTTGCGGAGGGTGGTGGAACCTTGGGCCATGCAGGTGAGCAGCAGGGGGGCATCAGGTGGGACCTCTGCGGTGGGTGGGTCCAGGAGCAAGGCGGGCTGGGAAGGGGTAGCTGGGGAGAAAGGGGAGGGAGTGCGAAATGGGAGTCATCATCATGGGAGGGTGGAGCTCGTGTTCAGAAGATGGAGCTCAGGAGAAGATGAAGCTCAGGGGAAGATGGATCTCATCATGAGAAGATGAAGTTCAAAATCATGAAGATGAAGCTCATGGTCATGAGAAATGAAGGTCACCCATCATGAGATGAAGCTCATAGTTAGGAGAAGGTGAAACTCATTGTCACGACCCTCTTGAACGCATCTTCACCTCCCTCTGGTGGCCACCAGGAGATGTTGGGGCCATCTTCTTCTCCTTCTGGTGGTCACCACGGGTGGTTTCAACCACTTTTTTTCTCGGTTTCCCCTAATTTTGACCTTTTTTGGCTGGAATTTGCCCAAATTGGACCATTTCTCCCCCTCTGGATGGACCTACCTTTGATGGTGACCTCCAGGGGTTCACTGGGGGGTGATGTCACCCACATCCCCCCCATGTCCTCTTCCACATGACACCTCCAAGTTCCCTCAAGGCTTGTGGGAGTTTGGGGGATGAAAATTTGTGCCAAAATCCCCAGATTTTGTGGTTTCCACCCCTGAAGCTCTGTCCCGTTCCTGGAGAAGTGGAACCTCAGGGGAAAGTCCTCTCTGGTGGCTTTGCAGGTGACACGCAGGGGGTGGCCTTCACCCACCACCCCACCGGGGGGGTCCACCCCCAACGTGGGCGGCAGAGGAGGCTCTGCGGGGAGAGAATTTGGGGAGAAAACACCTGAAAATGGGCAATTTTGGGCAAAAAAAGGCCAATGGTTGGGTTGTGGTGGCTTCAACCATCCCCCAGACCTCCAAAAAAGTAATTTTTGGCCCCAGAATGGATGACCTTGACCCACCGCCCTACTGGGAGGGTCGATCTCCAACTGGTGAAGCCTCTATGGGGAAGATTTTGGTGAGAAAACACCTGAAATTGGGCCATTTGCAGCAATTTCAGGCCAAAGTTGGCCAACAGTTGGGTTGTGATGGCTCCAGCCATCCCCCCGACCTCCCAAAAAGCCATTTTTGTCCCCCAAATGGGTGGCTCCACCCTCCAGCCCCCAACTGGGGCCTCTTTAGGGAAAAATTTTGGGGCAAAACCACCCGGAAATGGGCAATTTGAGACCCAAGTTGGCCAAGGGTTGGGAAGAGTTGGCCAACGGTCCACCCTGGTGGCCCCAAACGGTGGCCAAACTCTGGTCCTCCTTAATCGTCCCACCCCAGGCTCCCAGTGGCCCCAACTGGGAGCTGTGACGGCCCCCCCTCTACCCCACCCTCCCAAAACACCCTTTTTTCCCCCCAAACAAGGTGTCCCTTACCTTTGACCACCACCTGGAGGTGGGGGCTGAGGTGGGACAGGATCCGGCGACCCTCTACCTCCTCCTCGTAGCCACAGCTGAAATTGCCGGTGATGTTGTGGCCAGTGGCCACCAGAGGGAGATGGGCAGTGGCCACCCCCCTTATGACCTTGACCTCATTGACTTCGTTGACTTCGTCCTTGACCTCTTCCTTCTCCTTGAAGAATCGGAAGCAGCGGGGGAGGACTTCAGCCGGGGCCGCGCAAAGGAAGAGGAGGGTCTGACCTTCAATGGTGACCCCTCCCCCAGGGGTCAAGGTCAGGGTGGGGGCAGGCGGGCGGTCTGAAAGAAACCCCCCCCAAAAGAACTGGTTTTGGAGAGTTTTGGGGAGGGGGGGTCTGAGAGGAAGTGGAGGGGGAGGGGACAAGAGAGAAGTTGGGGGAAGGGATGGGGTTTTGGCGGGGGGAGGGGGTGGGAAGGGGTAGGGAGTGGGGGTCTGGGTCCCCTCTGCCCCATAGATGTGGGTCCCAGCTCCATAGGTGGGGGTTCCCCCAGACGGCCCGGGCCCCTCCCAGTCACCTTGGTCCCCTCTGCCCCATAGATGTTGGTCCTCCCAGACACCCAGGTCACCTCTGCCGCATAGATATGGTTCCAGCCCCATACATGTTGGTCGCACCTCTGATGCTGATGAAGACGCCAGGACTCTCCTGGGAGCGGAGAGGCCGCCGGGATCCGTCGGGGTGAGGGACGGTGTAGGTGCAGCTGAGGCGCCCCCCATCCCCTGGGCCCCTGATGTCAAAGGTCTGGACATGGCTCCTCTGGCGGGTCCGCACCTCCAGGGCCCACCCCCCTGCCCCCAAGAACTGGAATCCTTGCACTTGGGGAGTGCTAGGGGGGGCTGCGCAGTGCAGGAACACCGTGTCGCCGATGAGGTACTGGAGCTTCTGCGGGGTCACCCCCAGAGACGGGGCTGGGGGGACAGGGGGCAGCGCTGGGGAGGAAAAGGAAGAGGTGGGGTGGGAGGTGGAGAAGAAGGAAGAGGTGGGAAAGGAAGGAGGAGAAGGAGGGAGAGGAGGAGTTGGAGGAGGAAGAGATGGAGAGGAAGAGGAGGAGAAGGAGGAAGGGCTGAGGAGGAAGGTGGAGAAAGAGTAAGGGAAGGAAGAGAAAGAGGTGGGGAGAAAGAGGAAGAAAGTGGAAGTGGGAGGAAGAAGAAAGTGGAAGGTGGAGATGGGAGGAGGAGGAAGAAATGTGGAGGAGGAAGGAGGAAGAGGAGGAAGACAAGAGATGGGGAGAAAGAGGAGGGGGAGGAAGAGGTGGGGAGAAAGGAAAGAGGAGGAAGGGATGGGGAGGAAGGTGGAAGAAGGAGAAGACAGTGGAGGAGGAAGAGGAGGGATGGCTGGGGAGGAAGACGAGGGAGAGATGGGGAGGAAGAGGAGGAAGACAAGAGATGGGGAGAAAGAGGAGGGGGAGGAAGAGGTGGGGAGAAAGGAAAGAGGAGGAAGAGGAGGAAGGGATGGGGAGGAAGGTGGAAGAAGGAGAAGACAGTGGAGGAGGAAGAGGAGGGATGGCTGGGGAGGAAGAGGAGGGAGAGGGGGGAAGGAAGAGGAGGGAGAGATAAGGAAGAAGAGGAAGAGGTGGGGAGGAGGAGGAAGAGGAAGAGGTGGGGAGGAAGGAAAGAGGAGGATGAAGGACTGGGGAGGAAGAAGAAGAGATGGGGAAGAAGAAGGGCTGGGGGAGAAGAGGTTGGAGAGGAAGAGGTTGGAGGAAGGAAGAGGAAGAGAGGGGTGGAAGAAGGAGGAAGAGGAAGGAGGAAGTGGGGTTTTTGCCCCAAAGGGCGGTACCTGCGGGAACCAGCAGCGGGAGCAACGGGAGGAAAACTACTGGAAACAGGCAAAAAGGGGGACAATGGGGAAAATGGGGGGAGGGGGAGAAAGGGAGGAATGCGGAAAAAACAATGGAATAAGGAAAATGGGGGGTAAAAGGGAGGAAAAAAGGGGAAAAGAAAGAAAAAAGATGATGAAGAGAAAAAGTAAAATGAAATATAAGGGGAAAAGTGAAGAAGAAAGTAAAAAGAAGAAAAAAGGAAAAGGAAGATTTAAAAAAGAAAAAATGGGGGAGGGAAGAATTGGGGAAAAAAAGGAAAGGAATTGGGAAAAAAGTGAAGAAATGGGGGGAAAGGGAAGAAATGGGAAAAAATAAAGAAATGGGAAAAAAGTGAAGAAATGGGGAAAAATTAATATTTTGAAGAAAAATTGAGTGTTTGGGGAAAAAAGAAAAAATGGGGGGAAAAGAGAAGAAACAGGAAAAAGCAAGGGTATCGAAAAAAGTGAAGAAATGGGGGAAAAAGTGAAATGAGGGAAAAAGTGAAGAAATGGGGGAAAAGTGAAGAAATGAGGGAAAAAAGGGAAGAAATTGGGAAAAAAATGGAAGAAATGGGGAAAAACCTGATTATTTTGGGGAAGTGATTATTTGGGGGAAAATGGTTATTTGAGTCAAACCTGAGGCTGTGGGTAAAAGCGAGGGTGGGCCTGGCGGGGAGGGAGGGGCAGGGAAATGGGTGGAAAAAAAGGGGTTCTGGGCAAAGCCGGGGGGAGGAGGAGGATGGGGGGGAAGGATCAACCCCACAGCGGTAGGGGCTGAAGGGAGGGGGGGATGAGGGGACTCCAGAGGACGGGGAAGGGGACCCCCCGAATCCCACCCTTCCCCCCTCCCCACACAGGGACCACCCGAAAACAGAGAAAAGGGGGCCGGTGGAGAGGGGAAGGAGGGAGCAGTGGAGAAATGAGGAAAAAAGGGAAGATTTGGAGGAAAATGAGAAGAATGGGGAGAGTAAGCAGAGAAATTGTGGGAAAGTGAATAAATTTGGTAAAGTGAAGAAATCCATTAAAATGCGGTGAAAAGGGGAAGAAATTGGGGGAAAAGTGAAGAAATGGGGAGAAAAAGGGAAAAAATAGGATAAAGCAAAGAAATGGGGAAAAAATACTATTTGGGGAAAAACCAAAGAAATGGAAGAAAAAGCAAAGAAATGCAGCAAAAAGCGAGCAAATGGGGAGAAAAATTGTAGAATTGGGGAAAAAGTGAAGAAATGGTGGAAAAAGCAAAGAAATGGGGCAGGGGAAGTGAAGAAAAGAGGGGGAAAGCAAAGAATTGTGGAAAAAAGTGAAGAAAATTGGGGAAAAGTGAAGAAATTGTGGGGAAAGTGAGGAATTGGATAAAAAAGTGAAGAAATGGAGGAAAAAGCGAAAATATGGGGGAAAGTGAAGAAATGAGAAAAAGTGAAGGAATAGGGAAAAAAACAAAGAAATGGGGAAAAATGCTAAAAAATGGGGAAAAGGCGAATATTTGGGGAGAAAGTGAAGAAATTGGGAAAAAGCACAGAAATTGGGTAAAAGACCAAGAAAAGGGGGGGAAAACGAAGTGAAGGAAAAAAGCGAGGAATTGGGGAAAAAACAAAGAAAAGGGGGGAGAAGGGATCGTTGGGAGGAACTGGGATAAACAGGAGAAAAGGCAATAAATGGGGAAAAAAGCATTTATTTGGGGGACAAAGCAAAGGAATGTGGCAAAAAGGGAAAAATGGGGAGAAAAATAGAAGAATTATGGGGAAAAGCAAAGAAATTGGGAAAAAAGTGAAGAAATGAGGAGAGAAAGTGAAGAAATGGGGGGAAAAGGCCAAGAAATTGGGGGAAAAATTGAAGAAATGGGGAGAGAAAGGGAAGATTTGGAAAAAACATTATTTGGGGGAAAAAAGGTTAGTATTTTGGGGCAAAAAGTGGTTACTTGGGTC